AAATGTAATCCAAATTTATGCTGCATTCGCTGATGAATGGTCGAGAGCAATGGAATGGAATTGATGTAGAATTGAAAAATAGAGGCAGCGAATACATTTGGGTAAAGGCATAAGAATGAATTATAATTAGTATACCTTGATGTGATCATAATTAATACTTATATTTTATGCCTGCAACGTTTTCAAAACTTTCTTATAGATAGCGATGCAAATGCAGCCTCATAAAATATAGTTGGCTTTGCTTAGGGCCGTGAGGGGTGGGGGATGAGGGATGCGGGATGAGGGATGCCTCGCCGTGCCGTACCGTGCCGTGGCCAACAAATTATTATAGTCACATATCCTGTTGACATTTAACTGACAGCGCAACTGCACAAAGGCGACATGGGTCGCACCAGAGAGCAGGAGACAACAGCACGGCATAGTCAAGAGGCAGGCTATACACCTGAGTCATAACCATGACCAAAGTCACACGACAACGGCGCACACAGTTCCACATCCGGTGACATCCGGTATTTCCTGCTTGGCCTCCTCCCACTGCCACTCTCCCTCTCTCTTTCTCTCTTTCTCTCTGTGTGTGTCTGTTTGTCCTGCTGTTGGCTGAGTTTTAGCCATTGCCGTTGCTGTTGCCGGCAGCATTCCTGTGGCCTTGTCACACGTTCGCTGCGCTACTAACAACTGCCAGCAACAACAATGGCCACATCATAGTTTATGTGCTAAGGCAACACTATCAGGCCAGCGCCAGAGTGGGATAGAGCACACACATGCAAGCATCGTGTATGTACGTGTGTGTACTATACAAGGAGAGAGAGTGAGAGTAAGAGAGAGGGGGGTTGAAGTCAGAGATGCCAAATGCAGTTTATGATACACTTTGACTGTTGGCTATTGCAAAAGCTACGCCATCGGGCTGAGCAGCGCCTTAGAAAAGTCAACAGTGACTAGAGTGAGAGAGAAATATGGCTAAGAATGTTGGGAAGTTGAGAGAGAGGGAGTGAGCTATCAAGTGAATACAGTTAGGGATTTTGCTTTGCCATATGATCAAGCGATCATACGAAAGACTTTTCTCAATTAAGATAGAGACATTTCATTATTTCTGATTTAAAATACTTGCATACATAAAAATAATATTTAATCGTTAAAATTGATTTAAAAAATAAAAATAAATAGAAAATTGACATATTCAAAATGTGCATGAAATTTTATGTGATAATTTCATTGTTTATTCGTTCAAAAATAAAAATAAAAGGAAATGAAAAATATGTGAATGATCAAATTTAACAAAAGAAACATAATTTTAATCAAGCAAAGTCTTAAAAATCATAACAAAAATTGTTTAATAAAAAATAAAAAAAAAATTAAAAACTCAAAATAAAAGAGTAAATAAATTAAAGTTTAAAAATATTTTAAAAAGCGTAAAGTAAGAGTTAAAAAAATAAATTAAATAAAGATTACAGACATAGTGATGAATGATCAAATTTAACAAAAGAAACATAATTTTAATCAAGCAATGTCTAAAAAACCATAACAAAAATTGTTTAATAAAAAAAAAGAGCATTAAAAACCCAAAATAAAAGAGTAAATAAATTAAAATTTTAAAATGTCTTAAAAAGCGTAAAGTAAGATTTAAAAAAAAAAAAATAAATTAAATAAAGCCTAAAGACCTAAAATAAAAGATTAAATAAATTTTAATGAAGCAGCCTGTAAAACCCAAAAATAAAAGTTTAAAAAGTTAAAATGAAATAAAGCCCAAAAAACTTTAAATTAATTTAACCATATCTTTAAATACCAATAATAAAATAAAATAAAAAAATTAAATAAATTCTGATAACCTA